GGAACGCAAGAATATCCACAAAATCTGCACGCGTACTCCTGGCGTAGGAAGACTGGGTACAAGATGGATGATGCAATAGCAAGTAGGTCTGATGAGAAATGTGATCGGCCATTTTGAGGAGTCTGTCATCGATCAACAATCATGAGCCTTTTTAGTTTGGTTTTTCATGCACGCAAAGTGCTGTTCCTGCAGACAGCCAAGAAGGAACAGAACAGAAAGAGTCAACGTCACGGGAAAAATATGAACAGAAGAGAAAGATGATTGGACGTGGATTTCGAGAAGAGTGGCTTTCAGAGTTTATATGATTGGATTACAATGAAAAGGAGGGACAGATGCATCGCAAAGTGTGCAGAGACTTTCCTAATATAGCTGACAAGAATAGCTCCTTCTTCAGCGGAAGTAAAAGCTTTCATGTGAGTAATATTAAAGGGCACGATCAAAGCCGTCGCCATGCCAAGTGTGTGGAAGCTCAGAAAGCTAAAGAAGCTCCGACGTCAACTAAGAAATCTTAATGACAGGTTCTGCAACATTCTGATGTTAGTTGAGATTCTCTTGATTTTACCCCTGTCAACATCTTGTTGTGAANCAACTCCCATACGCCTTGGACTAAGAAATCTTAATGACAGGTTCTGCAACATTCTGATGTTAGTTGAGATTCTCTTGATTTTACCCCTGTCAACATCTTGTTGTGAACGGGGGTTTTCTCTCATGGGAAAGATCAAATCAGATTGGAGGTCTTGTCTGTCTGTGGATATATTAGACTGCTTGATCTGGGTTACTGCAGAAGGTCCTCCTGTTTCTGACTTTTTATCCCCCCGCCCTATTCCCCACTCAAGGTGAAGTATGATGATCAGATGATGAGAGCAGCATAGCTGCAGTGAACTAGCTGAACATCTAAGGAAAGTAGAAATACTCTTAGTCACTTTATGCTAGCGGGGAAGGCAAGGTGGCTTAACTGTCAGCTTAGTAGAAGTTTGAGCACTGGCCGGGGTCAATATGTTGTGTTCTTAGGAAAGACGCTTCACTTTTGCAATGCCCCTCTCCTTTCAGATGCATAAAGGGGTACAATGGAATTACTACGTATTATGCACAATGGAGAATAGAGTCATTGACTGAAAATATCAGAAACCTTCACTTTATCTTTTCTCACGTTAATTAGAGTAATTGTTATTTAAAACCCATTCCAGCTTCGAAATTTAAGTTACAAAGAAAAAACGAAATTAACTTTTGATGTGAAGGACATTTTATTATGGTGTATTCGAGGTGCAAATGCTTGGGTCATGTGATTACGCTTAGTGGATGTTTTTCTTTTGCGAC